AAATCAACTTCAAAATAATATCTATTAAGTTTTTAACCAAATAGATTTTTATTTTTACAATTCATTAAATAAAAATGAAAAGAAAAGAAAGAAATTTTTATAACAGTCAAAAACATGCAAAAAAGATTAAAAAACAAGTAACAAAGATTGAACAAAAAGAAGAAACTCTACCAATTAATTTGGTAATTTTAGCTAATAAAATTTTTCTTACGAATGTAGTTTTTTATCTTCTCAAAAGGATTAATATTATTTTGGAAAAACATGTAGAACTTTTTATAAAGTTTATTTAATAGCTATAAATGACTCAAATTGCTACAAATTTTATGAGTATAATAGATTCAGATTGATGCAGGGTCCACCAGAAGTTTATGATTTTGATTATATCAAACAAACAAAAAAATAGTATAGGTTTATTTTGACAAAAAATATTAATATTATGAAAAATATAAACGTGAAGGAATTCTTTATAATCAAGAAAAAGAATGTGATTATTGTAAATGAAAATCAATAGAATGCATAAAACAAAAATCTAAAATTAAGAAAAAAAATACTTATTAATAAAAAAGAACGTCAATATATAAGCCACTTGAATCATATTGGTCTGGTTTTGGTAAACTTTATTTAAAATATTATAAAGAAATAGAGGAAATTGGAAAATGTGTATACGACAAATGTAATGAGTATCAATTTTGTAGTTCTTTATTTATTTTTAATAATAACTATGGAATCCAAACCTGTGCTAATAACACGGGTCTACCCCTTTCGATTAATATATTTTCACTTAATTATAGAACTATTAATAATTTTTTATATACATATATACATTGTGTAGACAATATTTTGATACAACTTCAAATTCATTAAATGTTTCTTTATATAGCATACAAGAGTGGAAAGTAAATTAAAAAAAAAGTAATATATAAAATTTGATCATAATATTGTTGGTATTAATACCTATAGCCTGATCCAAAAATTTTATCATTCTAATCAACAATTGAAAAATATAATTAAATATTTGAAAAAAATACCTCAATTTGACAAAAAAATATTCAACAAATTTCTTTTAGTTCAAAAAAAGTAAAACAAGCTTTATACATCTTCAAATTCTGAATTTAATTATACGTTAAAAATAAAAACAGTTGTTGAATTTGTTATTTTAACAGAATCTATTATATTTAAAAAAACAAATTATATTATTGAACATGTATTTTATAATTAATTTCTTTATCTAGTTTTGAACCAGATAGATTTTTCTGTGTATAAAAATGGATCAAGAAATAAAAACTTTAATTTCTTTAATACATCGAATTGTTCATAATCATTTTTATACTCAGTTTATTGATGGTCGTTCTAAAAAATTCACCAAACAAGATTTATTTTCTGAACAAGAAAAAACAAATATTTTTCAAGAAATCAATGAATATATTAGTTTGTTTTCAACTGATGAAGACAATTCTTATATGCAATCATTTTTAAAAATTTAAATCTAATTAATGAAATTAAAGAAAATATTAAAAAATCAACAACTAAGTTACAATTAGCTGAGTATTTAGACTCATTTTATCAAGAAAATGTTTCTAAGTTTGCAAATTCAGATATCGAAGATTCTGATAATAAAGAATTTTTGTTTTAAGAATTTTATCGAATATTTTTTTCTTTTTTATTGTTATGTTTTTTGTTTTTTGCACTTAGAGCTCTGATATTTATTATCTAATATTCATTTACTATAGAGCTCTACCCTCCCTCCAGGTAATATTTTTATTAACCAATTAAATTTTAGTATTATACTGAGGTAAGGTTGGCTTTACCCCCACTCCTAAAATATTATCTAATAATGTCAGCACTCTTATCAACAAAATCTTTATATAAATTATATTTTATTATATAATAAATTTTATCTGATTAGTTTTTAACCAATCAGATTTTTTTATTTAAATTGTGGCTTGGCTTTTAATTATCTATAAAAAGAACCAAAATTTTTCTTTAATAAATAATTAAAAATTTAATAATTATTTAAAAAGGTAAGAGAGCTCCCAACTGTATATTGTTTGGTTATTCAGTTTCCTTACTTTATACTAACTTTCACCACCTTACTCTGATATTTTAATACCCTTATATAATATGGGTCTGCTTGCATGCTCGCTATTACAAGAAATGTTTATATCTGAAAATAAAGATAATATTGATATTAAACTTTCAAAATCAGAATAATTTTGGTGGTTTAGAGATAATGAAAAGCAGAATTATCGAAGACTTTTGATGAAAATAATCATATAACAGAATATATTCAGATTAAATTAACTAAAAAAAGAAATTTTTTTATTGATAAAAAATATAAATCCCTTTTAAAATATTGTAAACTTATAGTCAATAAAGAAAATAATATTATTGATAAAAATTCTAAAAAACTATTATTAGAATTAATTTATTCAAATATTAAATTAAAACAAATCAAATTTAAGAACAATTATAAATTTGATTTATGTGATTGTAATATTATTTTTAATTTAATAAAAAATTAAGAAAATTTAACAAACCATTTTTTTAATTAATTTTCAATTTTTTAAGATGTCGTCGAAAATAAGTATCCTAATTGTTTGTTGTTTACAACAAACAATTAGAATTACGAAGCGTTCGACACATCGTAAAAATTGTCTAAATAGCTTTGTCGAGCTTTACTTATAAAGCAAGCCAGCAGAGTGATCTGTATTATACAAGGGTATTAAAATATCAGGGTAAGGTGGATGTTGGAGATTGCTACGAGTATTTGCTACAAATTTGAAGTCAAGATCAGGATCAAGATGAAAATGACGTAAGAACAACAGTAAAATCGAACAACATCAATAATATAATATAATTTATATAAAAGAAAAAGTTATTTATATATTTTATTTAATAATCTTCTTGTATAAATTTACACATCATTAAATTTAATTTATCAATTAATATTCTTTTATCTTTTTTATTTAAGATTTTATTTTGTTTAATTCTTTCTCTTATTTCATTAGCTGTTTCAAAATTTTTTGCTCTATTAATTAATATAATAAAAAGAAAATATGAATATCTACTTGCATGTAAATTATGAAGTTTTATTTTTAGTTTTAAATCTAAATTTAAATTTTCAATAATAACAAATATTTTTTCAGTATTAAAACTTGCAAGTGTTTGATAATTTTCAAGTGTAGTTTTTTTGATTATTGAACCAATTTCATGATATTTTTGAGAATAAAAAGCTAGATCCCAAATAAGAATAGTATCTGTTTTTAAAATTTTGTTTGGTTCTATTTCATTATTATTGAAACATCTACAGTATATGAGAGTTTGATTGATTAATAAAAATAGAATTAATAATTTTTGAATCAACATTTTATATTGTAATATCTTAGTTAAAAAGTTTTATATTTATATATTTTGTTTTAATAATTTATATAAATATAAAGATTAAATTGTTTTATATTTTTAAAAATAAAATAGATAAAATTTTGCAAGAAAAACTTAAACAAATAAAAAATATACATGGTTCAGATGATTTTGATGCAGCATTTGAACTTTTAAAAGAAACACTTTATAAATTATATAATAATTTTAATGAAGCTCTTAAAAATAAAGATAAAGATATAAATTTATTACTTGGTGTTATTAAAACAATTATAATAAATCTTAATTATTATAAAAATTTAAGTTTTAAAGAATTTAAAAAAAACTTTAAAAATTTTATAGATCAGTATATTGATCAAATTTATCTTTTTTTACCAGAATCTACTCATTTAATAATTGAAAATAATTTAGCATTAAATCAATTAAAAATCTTTTTGCAGAATAAAATTAAAAAACTTTTTATAAATATTTAGAATATTACGCATATACTGTAGCTTTTTTACAATCAACTAGAATATTTAGAATTTATGAAATATTTATTTATAATAGAGTATTTTAATGCTCACCAGAGGTAAAAATTCACTGGGTGCTATATCTCAAAAACTGCACTATGAAACAGAGGTCGGGTAGGTTAAGTAAAAATGTTCAAGACCCCTAAAAATCTTACGAGAATTTAAATTGGGATCTTATATCTACTCTATATTATATTATATATAAAAAAAACCTCTAAAAATGCACTCTAACCCTAAATTCTTAGGCCGGTAAATTTTATTACTGGTTAATTTTAAATAAATTCATTTATAATATAACAATTTTAATATTTATTATTAGATATATAAATTACAATTTTAAATTTAGTGTAATATGTATGCCTATTTAAAATAAAAAATTAAAATCAAATATATTGATTAATTTATTATCATTATTAATATCAAATTCTCTTGTAACTAAAAATTTAAAAACTTTGGTTAAATATATTTTTTTATCATTATCATTATAATATTTGTTAATTCCTTCAAGTAATGCTTTTTGAATTTTATCAATATTTTGTGGTGTAATTGAAAGTTTATCTAATAAAGATTTTTGATATTGTTCTATTATTTGGTTAATATTTACAATATTATCAATTGTTTCCACATGAAGCCCTAAAGGATTGGATAAAGAAAATTTTTCTGATATTATTAATAGTAGATAGTCTTTTGAATTTTTGTAATTTGGATCTTTTTCTAATCTTCTTTGTTCGGTTTTTGTTTTTTGTTAATACTCAAATATAATTATTAATATTATCTGTAAAGATTTTGCTTCTTCAATTTTTTAATAGTATATCTAGTTAATAGAAATTTTTCATCTTTTTCTAAAACCCAAGTATAATAAAGAACATCTAGTAAAGTTTTTCCATCTTTATTTTTTGTATGAGAATCTTTTATTAAATCTTTAATGTGATTTGTTTTAGCTCTTGAAGTAAATTTTCTTTTATCATCTTTGTCTAAAGTTTTTTTATATTCATCAACAATCTATAAAATTTGTGCAATTTTATTTCTATTATAATTTCTATTTGGTTTTGTGTTATCGATTATTCTGGTGGGTAAATAAATTTCATTTTCATCTTCATTTTTAGCTGGTCATTTAGGTAAAGGTGGTTGTCTTAATAATGCTATTCTTTCTTTTCGTAGTTTATATAAATTTTCTATTGTTCTAGGTTGCAAAAGATATTCTTTCTCGATTTCAGTATCAATTCTTATTTTCCAATTATTCTGCAGGTCTTCAACATTTGTTTCAATATTTATTGATATAGCAAAATTATCGTATAAGTTATTATTATATTTTTGTTTTCTTTTAGTGTTTAAATTATTAATTTTTCTATTTCTGGTAAGTAATGTTTGATTTAATTTTAAAATATCATTTGTAAGTTCTAAGTTATCGTTAAGTTCATTTAAATCTTGATAACGATCAATTAATTTAAAAGTAATATCATATATTTCATCTTCAGTTTCACTTTGAATTGTATTTAATTTTCATCTTCTAAGAATATGTAAATCTTCTATTTTTCGATTATTTGTTAAGAATTCTTTATGTATTTCACCAATTCTATTATTATAATATCTCTTATCTTCTAGTCTACTTGAAACTTGTTTATTTTTTATATTATTTTTAAGCTCATCAAATACTTTATCTGTTAAGATTTGAATTCTTTGTTTTCTTAATATATAAAGTTGATTTTTTTGCTGTTCTGTTAATAAAGAATCATTTGTTATTAAAATATCAAATGATTTTCAATCAAGTAAATTTGAAATAAATGCTTTATTTTCAATATCCATTTTATACTGTTCAAATTTTTTCGAGCCTTGAATTCCCATTATTGGTTATTTCTAAGTTTGTGTAATTCTGCTTTTTATTTATCATTAAAATATTTAGCACCATCAATATTATCTTTCCAAACAGTTTCTAATTGTGCTAGATCTTTTTCTTTAACTATTCTATTTTTAATTGAATCATATTCTTGTTTTTGGTTAATTTTAAAAATTTTATTAGTTATACTTTTTAATAAGATTGAAATTTGCATGACTGTTAAAATTTTATCATTATTGATAGTATCAAATAAATTATTTAAGGTTGCGATATTTTCTGTTTTATCTTTCAAATCAATATAATAACCATATTGTTCAAGATGTAAATTATCTAATTTTGATTTTCTCAATTGTTGTAAATCATTAATTAAATTTGGCAATAATTTTGAATTTTTTATTCTTTGATCTAAATTTCTCTTATCAACCAATTTTATAGCATTAGGTCTTTGAGTTTCTTCAATTTCTTTTTTTAATTTATCAAATAAATCATTAATTATAGGTGGAGGGGTTGGTTAGGTTGTTTTGCTTGAGGATCATATATTATAATTTTATCATCTTGTTTTTCATCTTGATCTAGTTCATTAACTTGGTTTTAGGTTTGATTTGTTTGTTGATTTGAAAAATATTGCATTAATACTTGTTTGATAGCTATGATATAAATAATATTTGTTTCATCAGTATCATTTTGTTTTTATTAATTGTTAAATCAGGATAATGATAACAACAATATTTAAATTTATTATTATTGTTGTATTTGCATTTACAAGACATTTTGAATAAAAATTAAAAAATAAAAAAAATAAAAATTTTATATTTATATATTTTTTTAAAAAAAATTAAATTTCCGCATCTGGTTTTATTGATTGCCTATTATTTCCTTGATCTTGTGCCTATATTAATTGTTGCGCAATAATATTTGCTATTTCATATATGTTCTCAATATTAGCATCATATCTATATGCAATTTTAATTTCCCCATCATTAAAATATACTGGTAACCCTGTTTGTCCAGCTTCGAAAGAAAATTGTTGATCTAAAAAATAACTAACAGTATTTGTTATATATCAAGGATCTTGTTGATTTGGATTTTGTTGATCTGGAGGTGGTATTTTATTACAAAGTCTTCTCATTTTAAAAAATCCAGACATGTAATCAACTATTAAGATTAATACAAAATTTGCTATATCAAAAATAATACTATCTGTATCTTCTTCTTCTAGAAGTATACAAACTTTTTATTCATCTTTGCTAAATTGATAACATATATAAAAATTCTAATCTTTTAATAAACATCCTGTTTTATCATATTCAATTTCTCCATAATATTCAGCTAAGATTTGGAAATAATCTTTCAATTTTGGTTCATTTAATTTTTCTGGATCTACAAAAATTTCTTCAGGGGTTATATCATCTTGTGTTTTTCTTGCCAAATCTTTATTACAAATTCTAACAAGAAAAAAATGTAATTCTATTTTTGAAATTAAAGGAATCAATAAACTTTTACTACCAGCAATAGGAATTTTATAATATTCAACTATTGCTTTTGTAGCATCTAATTGTTCATTATCTTCATCTCTATCAGGTGGTAGTGTAATCTATGGCATGATTCCAATTAAATTTTCAATTTGCCCTGTATGAACTGATGTAAAAACTAAACAAATTGCAATATCTGATAAGACCAGTTTACTAAATCTAGACTTGTTTTCCTCTTCTTGAAATAATCTCCATATATTTATATATTTATATATTTATATAATATATCATTATAAAATAATCGGTCATTATCAAAAGTTGCCTCAAAGTTTATTCTATTAACTTTTAAACCATCAGGTCTTTTATTTCTACACACATTGTAAGCTTTTTCATCACCAACAGTACAAGAACCAATAGCATATGCTTTTTTCTTTATATCATCTTCATTAATATAATTTTTTCTTTTTAATATTGTTTATATTTAAATCATAAAATATTTTTTCAACAAGAACCACAAGAACTAAAATTAACTTGTAATTTTTTTTTATTAGTTATCTTTTTTGTTGATTTTGTTTTTTATTTTGTTGTTTTTTTTGTTATTTTAATTGTTGTTTTTGGTTTTGTTTTTTAGTTTGTTTCTTTTTTGGTGCCAGTTTTAATTATCCAATAAGCGTACAAGCTTCAAGATTATAAGTTTAATATTTGTTGTTACAAATGTTAAAAGTTGTCTTAAGGCCAAAAATATTTTAACTAATTCATTAGAATTATAAAAATAGAGCGAGATTATTAATAAAAGGCAGCAAATATTAAAATTCAAATAGGTGATATATAAAAGAAAATTTGACATTTATTTTTTTTAAAAAAACAAATGGGTATTTATATATTTTTTTATTTATAAAAAATAAAAATAAATAAAAATAAATAAAAATAAAAAATAAATAAAATAAAAAAAAATAAAATTATGCTGCTACGTCTAATTCATTTACATTTTCAATAATCATACTATATATTTTTTGGTCATCAGATTCTGCTAATTTTTTAATTTGTTCAATTATTTGTTCAATTAAATTAGAAGAAATTTTTTTAATAATTTCATTAACATTTTTTTGAATATTGAGATTAATTTCTCTTTTGTCTTCTTCACTTTTTCTTAATTTTTTTTTATAATCATCGCGTTTTTCGATAATTTTTTCTAATTCTTTTTTAATTTGTTCATAGTTACCGTGATTAATAATATACTCGTTATATAAATTTTTATACTTTTTTTATCTTTTTTAGCACTTTTGTAAAATTCTTTCCATTTTTTCGCTTCTAGTTTATATTTTTTTGTAATTTTTCGAATTCTATTGTTAATTCTTTAATTTTTTCTTTATCTTTATCATTTTCTATTTTTAAAATATCAAACATCTTTTTCTATTTTTCTTTTTCTTCACTTAAATTAATATTTTGTTTTTTTAATAATTTATTTTTTTTTTCTTCATTATAATTTTTTTTGCTTCCTGATATTTCTTTTTTTCAACTTTTTATAAAATTAATATTAAAAATATAAAAATATTAATAAATAATTAAATAATTAATAATTACCAGAAAGATCTTTGTTTTAATTTTTTATTTTCTTTTAAATATTCTTGTTTTTGTTTTTTAAGTTTTTCCAGTTAAATTTTATATTTTTTAATTTGTTTTTTCAAGTTTGTTCATTCTTTAATTGTTTTCGTATAATGAAGTTTTCGTTTTAAAGAGGTAATATTATTTAAATAAGCAGTACGTTGAATATAATAATAATTAAACATAAACAACATTTTTAAAATCTTAATTTAAAAATTAATTAATTTTATTAATAAATTTTTTTTAAAAAAAAAATGTAAAATAAATATATAAAAAAAAATTATTATTTTTAAAAAAAAAACAATACAAAAATATTATATTTAAATAAAAATTAATTAATAAATTTTGCAATTATTTTTGCATGACCTCTTTTTTTGAACTTCTGGCAGTAATATTTTTTGGGGCTTTTATATTTGTGCCTTTAGCTTTATACATCACTTCGTATGTATTTCTATAATATATATAAATACCACCTTTATAATTATTTGTAGTTTGACCATTTTTATTAAGAATTAATCTGTATTCTCCAGTTTTAAAATCTCAAATGTATAATTTTGGAAGTTCAACTGTGACTATAGGATCACCATTTGTAGCAAATATTTGAAATGGTAGTAAAAGTAAAATTAAAATAAAGGTATATTTCATTTTTCAAATGATCACCAATCTTAATACCACTAATGAGTGTTTGAAAATTTTTATTTATAAAAAATTTATATTTTATTTATAA